CCGTCAATCACGGTCGACCTCGTCCCACTTGGTTGGCGCGGCGCCAAGGTCAGCTACTTTACAGGCAACCCCATGTGCAACATCAACAGCCCCCAGCCGTTTGTTCAAGACCAGCTCAGTTTCTACGACACCTGCTCCACGCAACAACCAAGTCTCACGACTTTGTCACGTCAAGCGCTGGTCTTTGCTTGGACAACGCTGCGCTACACGGACCCTTTGCTCGCAAAAGCCACGGTTGCCCAGCTCTGCGCCTCAGTGCTGACACCCACCAATGAGGAGGCATGTCAAGAGACCCTGGCCACGGTACGACAGCTCATGGAGGCGCATGTGGTCGCTTGGCCGACGCCACCGGACGACCTCGTGGCAGCCATGGCGCAGCTCAACATTACGCTGGTGCAGTTTGCTCTCAACGACACTGAGCCGGTGTTTCTGACGCAAGCCGCCATCGCAGCGTCCGACAGTTTTTCGATCTTTGGTTGGGCCATGGTGTACGACTGGCTGGACGGCACGCGGGATGTGACGACGCTGGACACGGACACGGGTCTCTTCAACCTCATTTCGCCGTATATTGCGCCGGCACCGCTACCGGCCAACCCACTGGAGCTACCTAGCCAAGCGTGTGATTACATTCGAATCGTTGTTGTCTACGCCAGTGCACTCACGACCGCGGTCGCGGCATTCGTGCTCATGGCGGCTACGTGGTCACGCCTGCGCATCCATGGCGTTGATCTGCTGGCCTTTCACTGGGTTGCCAGCCCGGTCTGGGTCGGTCGGCCATTTCTTTTGCTGCGTGGCGCGACAGCACTCGTTCTTCTCAGCACGGCTTCTGTGGGCTTTGTCTCGACCAATGGCGTCTCCCGCTTCGTCTCAACACCGCGGTCGGTGTTCGATGTGATGGTGCTCGCAAGCGAAGCCAACTGGGTTACGTACGTGCTGGTGGACTTTTGCTTGCCACTTCTTGGAGCCCGGGCGCACTCGTATGCGCCGCTTGGGGCCGCCTTCACATGGATCGCGACTGTGGCCATTGAGCTCTCGGCGCCATTTCAAGCCAAAATGACCGTCCAGCAAACGTGCACGGTCACCAAACTCGGCTTGGACGCGCGTTGCTCGGGGGGTACCGTTCAGATCGGTAGTGTCGAGCACGTGTGTCTCTTGGCTGGTCTCCACGTCGTGGGGTTGAGCGTTGCGTCATTCATGTTGCGTCTCTGGAC